CAGCTCATGTGTTGCGTGTCTTCCCCCTGGTGGTCAGTGTGTGTCATAGCTACTGGTCAGCCGGTTGCTTAGGTTTTTATATATATGGATCTCAATATTATTTTAAAAATAAAAAATGTACTTGGTAATGTTACCCTGAATTTTATTGTAAAGTTTCTGCTCTCTTGACTCAACTTATGGAGAAGAGATTTAATATTTCCCTCTCCAAGTATCCTGAATCCTAATTATGAATCCAGAAGGTGACTTTGCCTGCCTACTTTCTGATTCACTGAACCTGGGCACTTTATAAATCATTATATAACTCTCAGTAAACATTTCCTACAAGACTGACTTGATGCTAAGAAAAGGTATGCAAATAATAACCAGGTTCAGATGAGTGAGGGGCAATTGAGAAGGTGGGTAACAGTGTGATATTCTGAGCTTCTGTAGTGTATTAGTTTGCTTGTACTGCCATAACAAAGTACCACCAACTGGGTGGCTTAAACAACAGAAATTCCCTCACAGTTCTGGAGGTCAGAAATCTAAGATCAAGTTGTTAGTAAGGTTCATTTCTTCTGAGGCCTCTCTCCTTGGCTTGTTGGTGGATATTTTTTCCTGTCTCTTCACACAGTTTTCGTCTGTATCCTAATCTCCTCTTCTTATAAAGACACTACACTAATCATATTGGTTAAGGACCATCCTAATAACCTCATTTTACCTTAATTACCTTTTTGAAGGCCCTATCTCCAAGTAAAGTAACATATTGAGGTACTGGGGATTAGGACTTCAAAATATGCATTTTAGGGAAACACAATTCAGCTCGTAACAGACAGCCTATACAATGCCCAAGTGGAGATGCCCAGTGGCAACTGAGAATGTGAGTTAACAGAGATTTGGACCTGGGATTGAGATGGTTAGGGGTCATTAAAGCTATGGGACAGCCCTGCCAGTGTGGCTCAGTGGTTGAGTGTCCACCCATGAACCAGGAGGTCATGGTTCAATTCCTATTCAGGGCACATGGCCGGATTGTGGGCTGGATCCCATGTGGGGTGTGCAGGAAGCAGCCGATCAATGATTCTCTCTCATCATTGACATTTCTCTCTCTCCCTTTCCCTTCCTCTATGAAATCAATAAAAATGTGTTTTTCAAAGCTATGGGATATTCTCAGTGAAAAATATACACAATTTTTCTTATTTCAGGGGGAGGGGTCCTGGAACCTTGGAAGCCTTCCTGTGCACCCCAAGTACAAAGTCTGCTTTAACCCTTTGAGTGCCAACCAATATCCTAGGAACTATGCTAAAATTGCCAAGACATTTTTGCTGATTTTCCTTAGGTGCCATCTGTCAATAAAGAGTGAACTACTAGCATCTAATAGTGACACTGCAGGAGGAGCGCGATAGCGCTCCCAGCACTTTTGGCGAAAGACAGGAGGAGCGGGATTGCGCTCCCCGGCACTCTAGGGGTTAATTAGGAAAGACCAGTGGAGATCTTGTGTTGTCAGTGAGTTCTATGTCCATTAGATCCTGTCTGTCAATAAGAAACAAGGATTCAAAGCTAGCAAAGTGGAAACATCTGCTGTCCATATTTACCTTGTAACTCTCCACCCCCACTCTCAGTTCTGCCCACATCATCTTGAGAACATATCCTTTTCTTTGGGTCCAACTGGTGCCTTTTAGCTTCTCTAGATAGTGGATCATTTATTATTATCATTGCATCCTTTTCTTGCTGGAATACAAGAAGTTTCTTGATCTCACAATAAATTCCTTTGCTTGAATTTCTGCAAAACGTCAGTGTCGGGATGTTTTTTGGTTTGTTTTATGTGTTTTTTTGACACAGAGAAGGCTTGCATGTAATTTGCATCTTATTAATAATCCTATATAATAAAAGCCCAGCGACCAACAGTGGAAAAACCAGAATGACCAGGCCAGCCCCGCCTCCCAGCAGGGACTCCCACCCTGATCGGGGGCCCTCACCCCAGCCGTCCCTACCCCCCAGTGGGAACCCCCATCCTGATCTGGTGCCCCCATCAAGGCAGGCTAGCTGGCCCCCACCTGTGCACCAGGCCTCTATCCTATATAATAAAAGGGTAACATGCAAATTGAATCTAATGGTGGAATAACCAGAATGCCTGCTCAACCAGTCACTATGAGGTGCACTGACCACCTCTTGGTCCCTTTTCCTGACTGGCAGGCTCCAATCACCTGATGGCGAACAGAGAACTGGGGGTGGGTGGCAGGGGACGCGGGCAGTGCCAGGTCAAGGCCCCCACCCCGCTGGTCGCCCCCCACACAGAGGGCAACCTGTGGAGGGGGTGGGGCCAGCAAGCGGGTGGGAATGGCTAACCTCTTGGTCCCTTCCCCCAGTCGTCAGGCTCTGATCACCTGACGGCAAACGGGGAACCAGGGATGGGTGGCGGCGGGGGGTGGGGCCAGCTGCAGGCAGCCAGGGAAGATGGCCCTGATCACAGGCCAGGCCTAGGGACCATACCTGCACACGAATTCCGTGCACTGGGCCTCTAGTAGTCATATAAGAATTAACCAATGTCACCCAAATAGATTTAATAAAAATATATAGTCAAATAAGAATCTCCCTTCTAATAAAGTCACATTGTAAGTTAAAAGCAATTGTGACTGTATTACACTTTATTTAGTCTTGTTTCCATCATTTCTACATCGACATTTTCTTATGATTCTTAGATTTTCAGACCTACTTCTGTAAGCCTATAATGATGCAGATATTTTATAGAATTGCAGACACCTCACCAGTCCCAGTTTTAAAACCTTCCAGTGAGCATGGCTTGACCCTGGTTACTGAGCAGTATCAGTATATCTCTACTAATGCTCTCAATGCTGTTTGTATTCCAGATCAGGGTGGCTCAGAAGTCCTGGTGAGTGTCCCTAGCACACAACAAAAAGACATTTCAAATACTGCCAACATTTTTTACTGTTTTGCTTGCCTGAGATATTTTAGATGTAGTATTTTAACTCAATACTTCTCTTCAATTTATCATTAATACAATATTATAAACTATAACAGAAAGTAAGAGTATAATTTTATTCAGGATGTTTAAAGCATTAAGTTGCAATAAGTAGCATGTAGTTGTTTTAAACATAGAAGGGCAATGACACTCTAAGAGGACTGAGGCAAATAGCCCAGACTCCAGACTTCGTGAAGCTGTGTTGGGGAGGAGAAAGATAGGACACACTTCATTCTATAAGCTTTCCAATTTTCCACTGTGGCATCAACCATACCAATAGAAAAACCTCTTTTTTAAGGATGTTTTAAATTTACCTTTTTAAAAATTGATTTTAAAGAGAGAGGAAGGGAGAAGGAGAGAGAGAAACATTGATGTGAGAGAGACATCGATCGGTTGCCTCCTGCACGTGCCCTGACTGTGGATCGGACCCCCAACCTGGGCATGTGCCCTGACTGGGAATTGAACCCATTATCCTTTGGTGCATGGGATGACACTCCAAATAACTGAGCCACACTGGCCAGCACAACAATAGGAACATCGCTAACAAATTATCTAAAGCAGTACAATTACAAAGAATGATTCTTTGTGGAGTCTCAAGCTTATCCACAAAATGTTAACAAATCATAACCAAATTAAAACAAAATCGTCAACCTTACTATCCAAATGGCACCCATTTTCCAAATCCAAACATGATCAACAAAATGTAGGAAGTATCCTAAGATCACAGCTGCAAAGATACTGACATTTTCATGAGAACACTTGGGCATGATTTAGGGCCCTGGTCGGCAAACTGCGGCTCCTTGGCCCCTTGAGTGTGGCTCTTCCACAAAATACCACGTGCGGGCGCGCACGTAGAGTGCGACTGAAACTTCGTGGCCCATGCGCAGAAGTCGGTTTTCGGCCTGGGCGAGTCTATTTTGAAGTACTGTTGATATTTGGCTCTGTTGACTAATGAGTTTGCCGACCACTGATTTAGGGGATAAAGAATGTGACAACATTTCTAGCACCTCATGTAAACTTCTAGATATGAAATAAAAGAATTAAGATAATTTGGGGGGGGTGATGTTTTGTCTTCAGAAAAAATATGGAACACACAAATATAGCAATATTTTACATGCCTGCATAACATATTTTTCTCAGAATATAGCAACTGTGGGAAAAATCAGAGCTTCAGTAACAACTCCAATTGCTTTCTATTCTAGGCTCCTAACCAGGCTAGTTTCTAGAATCCTGCTTCCAGAAGGCTCCTCCAGGTTCTATGGGAGGTTTGCTTTTATGTGCTGAGTGCAGGGCCCTATTGTTCCTTATGGAAGTTATGGAAACAGCTACACCACTTGACTTCTCTCTTGTCACCACCTGCCTTGCCATGGGATCTTTCCTTCCATCATTCATTGCTACTTCTAAGTGCTGAAAGCTTTGCTGTCCTAGCACTCATAGCCCTTTGAGCCAACCTCAAATGGTGTAGCAGTTTTTACCATTATAACTGCACTGACCAATCTGACTGCCTTCACAAGCACCAGGTGGTCCAGGTCATTGCCCAGCTTCCTACAGCTGTTCCTCTCAATCCAAACCAAGATCCTGGGTAAGTTCCCCTTCTTGCTCTCTCCAGCCTTGTCCTTTTCCATTCTAAGACAGTGCAGTCTTTTTTTTTGCTGGACTATCAGTCACAAAGTTTCCACCATTATTTCTTGCAAGGGATTCTCATGAACCCAGAATTCCTACAGAAAGTTTGCAGATTAAACTCCCCACCCTTGCCCTAATTGTTATATTACTACTTTTCAAAAGCAGGTGGTTCTCAAAATTATAGTTTTCCAGCTGGGCAATTCTTACTCTACAAATATGCATTTTCAAAAACGTGTAGTGTCTTTTTGAACCTATTTCCCCTGGAATTTGGCTAAAATTGGCCTGAAAGATGAAATTAGATTATAAATAGAGGCACAAAATTTTCATATGCTCATTCCATTGGAAGTCAAGTGAAACACAGAAGTAGCTATTACTGGGTCATTCTGAACTTTCAGGATTTAATACACACTTTTAATACCTGCAAGTTCGAGCTTTCTTTCTAAAATAAATGCACTTTGTTTGAGTTTAATCAATCCATTACATTTCTTAGATAAATCTTTCAATTGGCAATAATCGCACCTCGGATAAACCTCATTGGCTACGATACTGCCACTGTGCAAAGCTTCTTAGATTAATCTTTAATATCAACATTTTTCCCCCAACAGCCAGAAGAAGGAAGCTTTTTTTTTTTTTAATAATAAAACTACAAGAATTCAGGCTCAGAATCAAACTGTTAAAAGCAGGCCAATGGGAGCTCCTAATTTTTAGTGCCCTAATTAGACATTAGCAACTAAAGTTAAAATTTCTCTCTTAATTCTTTAAAGTTTAGTTTCTCCCTTGAAATGCCACTGAGAACAAGAAAATGAGCTAAGATGGTTGAAGTGTTTGCCTAAGAAGCCCTATCCAACAAACATTGACAAAGGAACATGGAAAACAGATGAGCTTAAAAGTGAAAAAAGGCTCGACGGTAAAAGCTGCCCTTCCACGTGGGTCCCATGCGTTCAGTCCATGTTTGTCACATTCGGCCAACACCCTCTATGAAAGTGCTTACCCAGCAATGGACTTCAGAAAAAGCCAGGGACTCACATGGGTCAAGAGGCAAAAAAATATATTTTAAGTCCGTCCCTTTAATTATAAAAATTAATTGAAAAAGGAAATTTCCATAACTGAATTTTTTAATTGAGTTAAAAAATCCTTTCTATTAAAAAAAAAAAAGCACCATAAAACATTTATGGAACAATATATGAAAGTATGTCCAGTATAACCTGAACTTCTGGATTTTAATGTTTAAATCCAAATCCTTAAGCATATACTTAGTCAGTTTGCTTTCCAACAAACTAAAATTTAAAGGGAAAAATATGTTATCTTCTTAAATATAAGTGGTACAAAACTATATTTGGTTTTCATCAGTCAGAAGCATAACTGCCTTCAACTAAAACCAAAAGCAAGCAAACAAACAAACAAAAAAACAACCCAAACATCACAGATAATACCGATTCCTTTAAATTAAAACACTATAGCACATATGTATGCACACACATGCTGGAAAACATACACTAGTATATATAATCTGCAAGATGGAGTGATTTCCTATTTATGCCTACCCTATTTATTTAAGAAAGGCTGAGGAACCTAAACTCCTAAATCACACAATACCGGGACAAAACTTTTTTATCCATAGGATAATTCCTTGAAAATAGCTGTTAGATGAAACAAAAACTTTTTCCAAGGTTTTAGCCCTTTTTATTGATTTTCTTTTCTGCATAACCCTCTCTCAAAAATTAAATGATATATCTGTTGTTTTGTAAACATCAGGCTTTCAGCCATGTTCTTACAGTCCTTGGAAACATTCACTTCTTCAGCTCGTCATGCACAGCTGGGCTGGTGGCGGCATCAGCTCAGAGCTCTTCTGTATCCCCCTTTAAAACAAGCTCGGCCGGCACTGTGTGCTCCTGCTTCACAGCATGGGCGGCGTAGTTAAGGCTGGTATTTCCACTCCAATGCCAACAGCCTGAGAAGGGGTTGTAGATCATTCCTGCCACAGTTTGAACTGACAGACCATCTGAAAAACATCACAAAGAGTAGATTTAATAAGTATTTACTTTTCAAGAGCCGAATCTCATACAACTCTCCATGCTAAAAAAAGGACGTCTAACTCAACGGGCAAAAACACTTTGTCACCATGTGCCGATCACTCTTTACTGCAGCACAGAACATAAACTCCAAAGCTGACTGCCTGGCTTCAGACCCCAGCTCTGGCACCTAATAGATGACCCTGGGTAATTCATTTCACCTTTCTCAATGTCAGTTTTCTCCCATGGACAGACAGATATCATAGAGTTGTCAGAATTAGATGAGATATGTGTATAAAGTAGCACAGCGCTTGGAATTTGGTAAGTACTCAATAAACATTAGCTGTTTTTAGAAAATACATACCTGCCAACAAGTGACTGTTCCTATAAAGCATCTTTAAAATATTTTTTCTACTGTTTTCAACAAGGTTACTTGCAGAAATCTTTAGAACTTACTACATTGCATTGGACTGATAATATTCCAAGTAAAATCAAGTTTATTGATATATTGTTTATGAACAAAAAACATGAGATACACATGAGTCTAGGTACTTAACAGGAATATCAACTGCCAAATAAATGAACTGATAAATATTATTACTTGACAGGAATCTAACATGTAAGTCCAATGTTCACGATGAGTAAAGCAGAGCTAGGCATTGCAGGGAGTACAAAAAAGAGACATAGTCTGACTTCAAGGAACTTATGGCCAGAAAGGGGCTGAAAAACACCAAAATAACTATAATATAAGGCATGCTATAAGAAGCATAAAATAGCCGAAACCGGTTTGGCTCAGTGGATAGAGCGTAGGCCTGCGGACTGAAAGGTCCCAGGTTCGATTCCGGTCAAGGGCATGTACCTGGGTTGCGGGCATATCCCCAGTAGGGGATGTGCAGGAGGCAGCTGATCGATGTTTCTCTCTCATTGATGTTTCTAACTCTCTATCTCTCTCCCTTCCTATCTGTAAAAAATCAATAAAATATATTTAAAAAAAAAAAAAAGAAGCATAAAATACATAAAACTTGGCAAGGAAGTTCAAAATATATCTGAGTGCCTAGCCAGTGTGGGTCAGTGGTTGAGCAATGACCTATGAATCAGGTCACTGGTTCGATTCCTGGTCAGGGCACATGCCCGGGATGTGTGCTCGATCCCCATGTAGGGGGGCATGCAGGAGGCAGCCAATCAATGATTCTCTCTCATCATTGATGTTTCTATCTCTCTCTCCCTCTCCCTTCCTCTCTGAAATCAATAAAAATATTTTTAAAAATTAAAAAAAAAAATTTATATATATATCTGAGTATGGGGGAATCAGGAAAAATAATATGTATGATAAGCTAATACAAGGGCCTCAACAGGACAAACTGAGGATGTGTAAGTAACAGACATTTGTACCTCATCCTTAAATATGTGAGGACTAAACAGCTAAAAGGTATTCACTGGTCACCTATGATTTGCTTGGCCCTGGGTTAGGTGCCACAGGTGAGAGAGAATGGTATCTAATACTTAATCCTAACTTCGAGGAGTTTATGATCTAGTTGAGGAGATGAAACCAACATCCAAAGAACTGTGGCCTATTTAAGTGCTAGGCTGTGTGATTATTAATAGGTACATTAAGCGTTCAGCTAGGCCTTGAAAATTCTTAACTGGAAAAATTCTTAATACTTACTTGACTCCAGAATGCTCTCTAGCTTTTCAGGTGAAACAAACTTCTCCCACGTATGAGTGCCTTTTGGTACAATACCTGCAATTTGCTCTGAAAAAACAATTCCCAAGGCGTAGGATAGCTGTGTTTTGTTGATTGTAGTAATAAATAAAGAACCACCAGGCTAAAAAATAGAGAGAAATAAAATTTTAAATGTCAGGAACATCAATTAGGTAAAGGCTTCCCTTCTTCCACCCTCTTCCTTTCTTCCAAACAGTAATTTTCTGCTGTTGTTGTTAATCCTCACCCGAGGTTATTTTTTCCTTTGCTATTCAGAGAGAGTGGAAGGGAGGGAGGGAGAGAGAGAGAAACATCAATGTGAGAGAGACATATCGATTGGTTGCCTCCCCCACATGGGGATCAAACCTGCAACCCAAGTATGTGCCCTTGACTGGTTCAGTGAGCAGGCCAATACTCTAACCACTGAACCAAGCCAGCCAGGGCCCTTCCAAGTAATTTAAGTGCAGTTAAGATACACAAGCATGAATAGAATATAATTTACTAAAATAGTATTTTTTTTTCTCTTGGGAAATTCATTAATAAAGGCAGTCCACTGCCAATATACTCACTGAGTTTATGCAACAGTGTTTATAACTCTTAAAACCATACATTACTATGATTTATGTTTATATTATACTAGAGGCCCGGTGCACAAAAATTTGTGCACTCGTGGGGTCCCTCAGCCCGGCCTGTGCCTTCTCGCAGTCTGGGACCCCTCGGGGGATGTCCACCTGCTGGCTTAGGTCCGCTCCCCAGGGGATCGGGCCTAAGCTGGCAGTCAGACATCCCTCTGGCAGCCCAGGAGCCCTCGGGGGATGTCCACTTGCCAGCAGGGAGCAGGCCTAAGCTGTAGTCGGACATTCTTAGCGCTGCTGAGGAGGCAGGAGAGGCTCCCACCACCACTGCTGTGCTGGCAGCTGTCAGCCTGGCTTGTGGCTGAGCAGAGCTCCCCCTGTGGGAGCACACTGACCATCAGGGGGCAACTCCTGCATTGAGCGTCTGCCCCCTGGTGGTCAGTGTGTGTCATAGTGACCAGTCATTCCCAGTCATTCTGCTGTTAGGGTCAATTTGCATATTATTCTTTTATTATATAGGATACACTAGAGGCCTAAAAATCGTGCATTGGGGGTGGGGATGTCCCTCAGCCCAGCACGCACCCTCTCCAATCTGGGACTGCTGGCTCCCAACCGCTTGCCTGCGTGTCTGCCTGATTGCCCCTAACCGCTTCTGCCTGCCAGCCTGATCACCCCCTAACCACTCTCCTGCCAGCCTGATCGACGCCTAACTGCCTTCCTGCCGGCCTGGTCACCCCTAACTGCCCTCCCCTGCAGGCCTGGTCCCCCCCAAATGCCCTTTCCTGCAGGCCTGATTGCCCCCAACTGCCCTCCCTTGCAGGCCTGATCCCACCCAACTGCCCTCCCCTGCAGGCCTGGATCCCCACCCCACACACAAATGCCCTCCTCTGCAGGCCTGGTCACCCCTAACTGCTCTCCCCTGCAAGCCTGATTGCCCCCAACTGCCCTTCCCTGCCGGCATCTTGTGTCCACATGGGGTGGCCATCTTGTGTGTTGGAGTGATGGTCAATTTGCATATTGCCTCTTTATTATATAGGATTGCTTTGTGTATATCAACTACTTAATAATAAAAATATAGAAATGAGATCAGGCTGCTCTTCCTTGTTACATGTCCACATTTATGTTTTAACGTGTCAATACTGCTTTCTCTCCAGGTGCGGATTCTACCTAATTTGTTTGGTACAGCATACAGCTCCACATCTTGTGCAGGCAGTCAACGCCAGTAACTGTTCTTTGAAAAGAACATTAATGATTAAGGCTTGAAAATATTTCCTTTTTATTTTCTTTCATTAGTATTAAGCAGTGATTTTCAACTGGTGTGCTGCAAGAATTTTTAAAACATGCAATTCCTGACTATTTAGTCAGAAGGACTGACCTCTTTTCCCTTAGATTGTCAAATAGAAAAATGACAACAGCAACACAAGAGCCATCTGGTATGAATTAATCCAAATTATCCCTTTTTTGTTTTTGTCAGATCAGCAAAAAAATGTATTTTCTGGTGCACCACAGAATTTTAGTAGTTAGTTTATGTGTGCCATGAGATGAAAATGGTTAAAAATTGCTGGTATAAAGACTATGAAGAGATCAAGATAAGCACTTTAGATAAATACAAGCCATTAATGAAGCTGTTCAGTCTGCCATATTTTAGTGACTACATTGATAGTGTTTTCTTTATTTGTTCCCACAAATAGCAAGGACATTACCATTTCCTTCCTCTTTTATGCATTCTCATTAGCCTGGTGAGCATAAAATGCCAAAGAGTCTCTCCAAAATAATCATATAACTATATAGGGGCGGGGGGGAGTGAAGGTAGGTTTATAGTTGTTGATATGTGAAAAATAATGCCAATGATTAATAAATAATAATCCAATAATAAACTCTGTGTTTTGCAAACTCACAACTGTAAATCCACTTTCGCCCCACCTCATATGTACATGTATAGGAGAAAGAAAGAAAATATATCTCAAATACCATCCCAAACCAAAAATAGAAAAAAGAAGGCCCTGAAATATTGCCCAGTCCATTTAAATGAAAAACTGAAATATCAAACACTATTTCATCACACATTGTAACTTTTCTCTGTAAAACTCCAGTATTCTAAAATATATTCTTAAGAAGCATTTAGTATATGTTGATTATATCTTAATAGAGCTGGGGGGTAGGGGTGGGAATTGCTAAAAATAAGGGAAACTGGGTAAAATGTACATGGGAACACTTTACTATTTCTGCAATTCTTCTATAAATCTAAAATTATTCAAAAGAAAAACCATTTTTAAAAAGCTCTATTTAGGTAAGGGCTAAAACTAAGCATTGCATTCTTTTAGCTCTTGACCTCAGGGTGTTACCTCCAGAATACATATATAACAGAGTCAATATAATAATAATAAAAATAGTATAATAATAATAATATTTTCGGGAAATTTATTAAAAGAAAATTTGGAATCATTTTCAGAGGACTAAGGCTGTGGAGAATTATAAAACAATAATAATGTAATGGTAAAAACCGGATTTGGAATCAAAAGATGTAGCTTTAAATTGGATTTCAGCACCTAATGACCTTTGACTTAAAGATATAATGACCTTTGACATCTCCCAAATTCTGATCTTCACTGGTCAAAGGAGGCCATAACAATGCCTGCCTTACCTTCCTAACATAGTTACAGGTCAGATCAAGGAAGGTCATACGCATGAAGTATTCTTTTAGAAGCTGAAAACTTGAACATATCACATATAGACTGCTTAACAAATGCTAAGTCAATTTATGCTGATAATGATTTTTATTGATTTTAAATGTTAATCCAAACAAACTTTTTAGTAATTGTCATTCAATGTCTATTAGGTATTTAACTAGGCTATATCAATGGAAAAATATCACTATAAATCTACTGGTTGTATTATAATGTTCAGCACCAACATTGTTCAAGCTCCCTGGACATCAAGACACTGGATCTGGAAAACCCTGGTATTGAGGGCAGGCTGAGAGGCAGGAGTAGTCTCCCGAAGAGACATTGCCCCTGGTTCTGGTTTCCTGGTTTCAAGTATTATACAGCCCTTATTGCTATGGATACATATACACACTGAAAAGCACAATCAAACAAGTAAACTCTGCAAGTCTTACTTTTAACACTTGATAGCAGCACTGTATAAATGTTTCTAGGTCAATCACATGCTCTACAACTTCAGAAGCTATGACAGCATCAAATGTTTCTGCAGTCTCTTCCACAATCTCTTCCAGGGAACACACTCTGTATTCCACCCTCTGATCCAGGACTGGATCAAATGATTTATGGCGCTGTGCTGTTTTAATGTTCTCAGCCACAGGATCAATTCCAATAACTGAAGCCCCAAGCCGCCCTAGAGGCTGATGGTATAAAAAAAAAAAGTTACCCTCAGGAAGAAAACGGAACAATGTTAGCAATAAAAAGCTTATCAAAAAGGCAACAAGATTAACCACGAGGGGATAAATATTGGAGGTTTTTTATGGGAACATGGAAATTCATTATGCTATTTTCTTTAGTTTATACACGTTTGAAAATTTCCATAATAAAAAGCTTAAACATGAGAACAATAATCACAACATAAAACTCATGAAGAACTACTTTCAAATAGTGAAAAAATCATCTGTATTTTCTAGGTACATTTAACATGCACACGATACAGTACTGATATATTTAAAGTGCAATAAATGTAACATATTATAAAAACAGCAAAACTGTCTGATATTCAAATTGCCTAAGAAACAATTTTTTCTTGATAGCTTTTTTCCGTGACTGACTAGAAATGATTCTTCAAAGCTAAGTCTTCTTTCAACTTTTATATTCAATCACTTCCCATGAAATGCTCACTTTTAAACACAGCCTTAATATTTATCAAAACTTGTATAGCTTTTACAACTCTTCAGTCAATAAGTTAAAAGTATAAATCAAATTATTTTAACTTTAGAGACATAAGATCTGCACTAACACACAGAGAAGATTACAGAATACATACAGTAAAATCTTACTCTTTTATAACTTGATACACCACCTATTCTTGAGTCTAAGGGATGTATTTTCTTTTTTTTTATTTTTTATTTTTTATTATTATTAGTTAAGGTATTACAAATGTGTCCTCATCCCCCCCATTAACCCCCAACCTCCCCCCCTCACACACACTCATGCTCCCATCCCCCTGTTGTCCATGTCCATTGGTTTGGCTTATATACATGTATACAGGTCCTTCGGTTGATCTCTTCCCCTTACCCCCGCCCTCCCCTACTTTCCTTCTGGGGATTGATAGCCTGATCGCTGTTTCTCAGTCTTTGGGTCTGTCCTAAGGGATGTATTTTCACATACTTTACATTTCCTGAAATTTTATAATTGATGTCAGAGAGACTAGCCCACTGCCACCTGAAGAACATGTTTTCTATGCATATGGAACTTAGCTATGCATCAAAGGCCTCTGTCAGGCTCACTCTCAACTTGCTGTTATGGGCCTCGACAGACCACATCCCACTGATCCTTCACTTAGATTTATATCCTATACTGTTGCTTAAAATATCTTTCAGAGATCAGATTATGATGCAGCATTGATAGAATACAAAATAAAGCTACAGTGCATAAATTTACTATAAGCTAAAGCAAATCTTCACAGAGAGGATGAGTATTCTTCCAAGTACTCTAAAGCACTCGAGAAGGGAAGAGCCCTACAAGCAAGCAAAACTCTGTTAGGTTTTAATATGGAAGCGGCAAAGGACGGCTTATCATAGCACCTAAGCAGTGGAAATTGCCTAATCTCTTGGGATAGAAGAGACACCAAAATTTCCAAAGCTATTCTGTGAAAAAAAAAAAAAAAAATCCTCACTATAATTTTCTGAAATTTTTATATTTTTAAGAAAATGTTGTAAAATCACTTACTTCAGTTAACAATCCACCACCACAGCCAACATCAAGAATCTTCATCCCAGACAAAGGTTTTCCTGGCTGGTGATTAGCAATTGTTTTTAAAAGATTGTCTCTTTTTAAAAAATTCAAAACATATAATAAGTTATTGATTTTTATCAATTAAATCTTAAAAGTGTACATTTTTTCAATGAAATATTAAATTCTCGTTTTAAAATGGATAATTCATTTTTTGGGTAAACAGGTCTTTTATTTTCAGAATTAAATAACTATGTTTAATTTACAAGATATTTTTGTTTTTGTTTTAATATAGCTTTATTGGATTTTTTTAAGAGAGAGGAAGGAAGAGGGATAGAGAGATAAAACCTTGATAAGAGAGAGACATTGACTGGCTGCCTCCTACACGCACACTCCTCCCCACCAGGAATCGAACTGAGGACCTCTTGGTTCATTGGTCGATGCCCAACCACTGAGCGTACAGCCTGAGCTAATTTATAAGATATTTTAAATAATCAAAAGCAGGAGGTTTAAAGTAAAGTTCTTGAAATAATCCTACATAATAGCGTAGTATGCAAATTGTCCCCTCCACCGGGAGTTTCCTGGGAGTCTGACCAGGGGGCAGGGCCAGCCAGGGGAAGGGAAGGAGTACCCAGCCGGCAGCACATGTATTTTGTGCACTGGGCCCCTAGTATAGCAATAATTATGACTTAATTGTTAGTTTAGTCATGACCTAAAGAAAAACTTTTAAAATAATCTAGTTTAGATTAACCTAATTTATTTGCTTGAGAGATCCTGTCACCCATTTACTACATTGTCAGTACTTGCTACATCCATTTCATATCTGCAACAAATAGGTTATTTACAGGGCTTAGAAAAAGCAGATTGGAAATCTATATTTTCAGAATTTGCCTATATTCCTTTCTAAATTGAGTCTCTTTTAATCTTCTAACTTAATGGTGTTTTCATGATCATGTAAACAGGCATCCAAATCAGATAAACTTAATTCTAAGATCACCATAGTAATACTTTTATTATCATACTTAGTCATACTTTACCACATATGCAAACATAAGCACATGCGCACACTTTGCGCGCACACACACACACTGATAGATATATACCTAACAGTATTGAAAACTAAACTTTTAAGTTGTGTTATATATGCCCTAGCCGGTTTGGCTCACTGGATAGAGCGTCAGCCTGGGGACTGAAGAGTCCCGGATTCGATTCCGGTCAAGGGCATGTACCTTGGTTGCAGGCACATCCCCAGTAGGGGGTGTGCAGGAGGCAGCTGATCGATGCTTCTCTCTCATCGATGTTTCTAACTCTCTCTATCCCTCCCCCTTCCTTTCTGTAAAAAATCAATAAAATATATTTAAAAAAAAAAAAAGTTGTGTTATATATAATAAAGATACCTTAGGATATCTTTTATTGCTATTAAAATTAATTGACTCCTAAGAATAACCTTGATAGTGGTCAAACAGATAACTTCAGAATGTTATAACATATTGAAAGGACCCATTTCAAATGAAATCCAATCCATTCTTCACACATCACCCAAATGACTACCTTACACCATAATTTTGATCATATCGTTCCCCTTTGATGGTTTTTAATTATGCTCAGAATAAAATCTAAACTTCTAACCATAACTTGCACTACCCTGGGTGATCTTTTTTAGAATGGTCTAAATGACAGTGTCATGGTAGTCTGAATACAGTAGTCTCAAGCTGAGAATATATGAAAATTATCTGAAAGGTTGCTCAAACACAGTCAGCTGATCCATCCCCGCAACCAAAGCAATAGGTCCAAGGTGAGACCTGAGAATTTTGCTTTTCTAACAAGTTCCCAGGTGATACTGATGTTGCTAGTCCAGGGCCTACACTTTTGAGAACCTCTGATCTAAACTAAAGAATGACATTTTGCTTCTCCCTGCCTTAGTGTTTACAAAAATTCAGTAATAATATAAAGATGCCCACATTTCCCTTTGTGTTGCACTGATGAACCAGCAAAAACCAATCAAGTCCCTGAGGGCAGTGTGAGTCTGACATTTTGTGTCTATCACAGTGCCATGCCCATCTCGGCTGCTCAAAAATGTTTAATGAACAAATAAATGAATGAACAATTTCTTCATAAATGGAGTCTAATGAACCCTGGCCTTTACCTCTGACAGCAAACTATAAGTTCCTGAAGTACGTGGACTATGTTTCAGATGATGAATGTCTCAGTAGCTTTTACAGTGTCTAGCCCCCAGCTCTACACAGGTAAGTTCTTAATAAGTATTTGCTGACTTGAACTATCTCAGCAGCACTCCCTTCATCAGAACTGCCTAAAGGTCAGAGCTGTGTGTGGTACAATGATTTTGATGCCATAGGACCCTAGTTCCTTTTCATAAGGATTTAATTCTAATTAAGCAGATAATGTCCAAACATGCTTCAAGTTAATTTACAAAAGCAGTCTAGAACTTGGATGTTATAAAAAATTAATGGTTTCAAACAATGGACATTGAAGAGAATCTCCCTAATTTCTAAAGTGAACTTAAAATACAGCATTTTTTAACCTAGGTATAAACCAAGAGAAAAATGAACCGAAAAGAAGATGAATTATTAAAAGGACTTGCATGTTAAAAGACTTAGAATTTCGGTAACGTTACCTAATAAATGGCACCCTCAGGTCATTCATAGAATGAAGAGGTGCATATACTCCTTGCTCATCCCACCACCTGTGAGCCAGGGCCAGGAAGGTTTTCATCTCACTGCTGTCTACAGTGGTTCGAGAAGTACTGTACGGTCTTGTCCAAGGGTATCTAAGAGGTCAAAATGAAGAGCCAGGCAAAAACTGCTGGTTTTAAAAGTGTAACGTGAGTATAATATGTACAAAGATATTCTAATTTATAATTTATTAGATTCGAAATACATGTATTGCTCATTTTTGATGCTTCAAAACCAAGTTTCCTTATAATCACACTGCTTAAAATACATTTTATTCACAGATGAAACAATTAATTTGCTTTTGAAGTAAGTTACGCTGAAAATGAAACCACATAACTTGGCTTTCTGGGTCACATTCTATGTAATAAAAGCCCAGCAACCGAACGGTGGAACAACCAGAACGACTGGTCAGTGCACTTTCACAGTGAAAGCAACACTTGGCTGACCAGGATGAGTGGCGCTCCCACAATGGGCCGCTCCCCGCAGGCCATGCCCACCCATGCACCGGGCCTCTAGTTTAATAATAATAATAGTAGTAATAGTAGTGGTAGCAATAACCATTTATTGAGTACTTACTAAATGTTGTTACTATTTAAGAATTCAACATATGTCAGATCATTTCACCTAATCTTCCCGGCAACTTTACAAGGTACATACTACTATTATTATCTCACTAGGAGGCCTGGTGCATGAAATTCTGCACTCGGGGGAGAGGGGTCCCCCTCATCCCAGCCTGCCCCCTCACACAGTCCAGGAGCCCTCGGAGGATGTCCAACTGACGGCTTAGGCCTGCTCCCCACGTCAGCCGGACATCCTTAGCGCTGTCGCGGAAGCAGGAGAGGCTCCCACCACTGCCGCTGCACTCACCAGCTGTGAGCCTGGTTTCTGGCTGAGCAGTGCTCCCCCTGTGGGAATGCACTGACCACCAGGGGGAAGCTCCTGCATTGAGCATCTGCCCCCTGGTGGGCGGTGCACATCATAGCGACCGGTCATTTGCCACTGGGCAGAAACCGGCTCTCCAACTTCCCCCAAGGGTCCCAGATTTCGAGAGGGCGCAAGCCAGGCCACTGGTGCACGATCGGGGCTGGGGAGGGACTCGGAAGGTTGGCCAGCTGGGAAGGGACCATGGGAGGGCTCCAGGGCATGTTCAGCCCATCTCACTCAGTCCCGATCAGCTGGACCCCAGCAGCAAGCTAACCTACCAGTTGGAGCACATCATAGCGAGAGGTTGAGCAGCCTTAGCTATCATTAGCATATTATGCTTTGATTGGTTGAACAGCCGAATGGGCGACCGGACATTTAGCATATTAGGCTTTTATTACATAGGATTATCTCTATTACACAGACAAGAAAAGGGAAGCTTAGAGAGATTAAGTGGTAGAATCAGGATTTGAAGCCAGATGCCTCCATCTTCTTTTTTTCATTTTGGCTGCCATCATCCTAGTCCAAGCTCCCATCATCTCCTATGTTAATCATTATCCTAGCCTCTGATTAGCCCTCCTGCTTCCTACTTCACCACCCTCCAATCTGCTCTCCATAACTATCTACTACTCCCTTCATCTTCCCCACTTCAGCCACTTGAGCCTTCTTTCAGTTCTTTGAAGTGACTATGCTTGCTTCTTCCTCAGGTACTTTGTATATGTTGTTACCTCTTCCTGAAACATTATTCTCACACTAGAGGCCCGGCACATGAATTTGTGCACGGGTGGGGTCCCTTGGACTGGCTGGCAATCGGGGCCAATCATGGCCGGCCGGCCGGGGGGAAGGGACCACGGGAAGTTGGCCAGCCATGGGAGGTTGGCTATGGGAATGCACTGACCACCAGGGGGCAGCTCCTGCATTGAGCGTCTGCTCCCCTGTTGTCAGTGCACTGTCATAGCGACCGGTCGACTGGTCGTTTGGTTGACCTGTCATAATGGTTGCTAAGGCTTTTATATATATAGATTACCCATTCCTTCCTCTATAAACTCATTTAATTTCTTCTCTTCTTTTAGCTCTTAGTTTGAATGGAATGTCATCTAAGAAGTCTTCCTCCATTCAAAACTGGGTCATATTCCCCTATTTTAAGACCTATATATCTTTATACTACTTCTATGTGGTTATTTGATCTGGTCTCCCCACTAACACATAAGTACTATGAGGGTAAAGCATGGACTGTCTCGCTTACCATTTTATTCCTAGTGACTAGTACATTTCCTGGAACACAGTTGGTGCTCAAATGCATAATCTGAGACCAGAGGCCCAGACAAGCATATAATTAACCTAAAAATTTTTTTTAATCAGATGGGATCTAACAAGGCCTAAACAGGAATCAGACAGAAAATGACACCAAGTTTCATGTCAAAGTACATGATAGGAAAACCTTCCAAAGATTCTTGGGTTAAGAGAGAATAGGTTGTAATGATAAAATAGGTAATGCCATTCAAATTTTTATTATGTTTTTCTTAGCTATATAGAATACATTCTGTATGGATTATTTATTATCCTTTTAAGAGCTAAATATCACTCTTCTTTAATATTATGTTATGACTGTCACCCTCCTTTTCCATGCTTCATCTAAAGACTCAGTAATCAAGGACTAACTTACATACGTAACAGTAGGTGGTTGCTCAGTTGACTATAAGAATGATTTCAGCCGAAACCGGTTTTGCTCAGTGGATAGAGCATCGGCCTGCGGACTGAATGGTCCCAGGTTCGATTCTGGTCAAGGGCATGTACCTTGGTTGTGGGCACATCCCCAGTGGGAGATGTGCAGGAGGCAGCTGATCGATGTTTCTCTCTCATCTATGTTTCTAATTCTCTATCTCTCTCCCTTCCTCTCTGTAAAAAATCAATAAAATATATTTTTTTTTAAAAAAAAAAGAATGATTTCACATACACCCAAGCTTAAAGGAGATAGCTCATTCACAAGTAGAAGTATGCACTCATACCTTAAAGCTATGCAATATTTTTTACAAGGTTAGAAGTTGGTTTATAAAATAAGAATACAGAAAGACTTTGATTCAGTCTTACCTAAAATATATACTTATCCACCTTATCATACTAGTTATATTACACTCAAATCATTTATAATTTTAAGCACTGCATTATTTGTGTCCTGTCATAAGGATATTATGAGGAAGTAAAAAGTACTTCTCCAAGTCATATAGTCTTATATTAAAAATAAAATCTATCTCTGAATATGGATAAAGAGTATGCACTATATATTATTTTACAATTTTTCTGTGGGTTTGACATATTCCAAATTTAGAAGTTCCTGCAAAAATAAGAATATATAGATAAATAAAAGTACCTTAATTAAATCATGTGAGCTATTAAATACTGACTGGATTATTAAACACAACCAATATAAAACTATTATTTACATAATTATGTAAATATCTGCCACAGTAATGAATAAACTTACCTGTAACTTTTCATTGTATTCAAGCAAGCAAAGGTCATTCTATAAGATTTGAACCACATGATCCTGTATTTACTGAAAACCCATGGTTTAATTTGTAGAGTCCAACTGAGCTGATTCTCTAGATAAATTGGAAAAAAAAATTAAATGTTTAGAGAAAGCACAATATGAATCCTTAATATATATGTACTTGAAGAAACTAAAAGGTTTTTTTAATTTTAGATTTTATTCTAACATATAAAATAAAGGTCTTGCATTCCATCATCTAACTCTAATCAGACATTTCTGAAATTGTATTTGGCAAACATAATTATGAATATGTAAAAGTTTTTTCACACCATTAGTTTTTGCATCCACATTATGCTGTACAAAATTATAAAAAAATGATATTCAAATTAAAACTATATTACCTTTTAAGGGGAGAAATGAGGGCATCTGTATTAGTGTCAACTATTAAATAAAGTTAAAAACAACTATATTACCTTCTAAACTAGGGTAATACTGATTCTGTGATTATATGTCAAAACTAGTTCAAATTCTGTCACTTCCATGTTAGCTACATAAAATGGACATATACATATGTTCAACACCCTTTACAGAAGAAAAAACTGTGGTATAAAACATTTTAAAATAGCACTCATCTAGTTCATATATTCAAACTTACGTAGGGACCTGCTTTATGAGCTACTTACTCTGCTGCAGAACATTCAACTGTTCAAAAGCATTTAGACAAAGTACACCTTATAGCAAAGAAAATTACCATGTTTATTACATTATGATAAGAAGGACAATCCACCAAGAAAATAAACCAATCCTAAATGTGTATATGCCAAACAAGGTTTTCAAAACATGTGAAGCAAAAATAGAACTAAGAGGAGAAATAATCTATAGCTATATTTGGAAATTTCAACACCCTTTTCTCAGTAATTGATAGTGCCACTAGACAGAAGATCAACAAGAATACAGAAGAAGTGAATAACACCAACCAACAAGATCTAATTGAATTTTTTAAAATTCTTACCTGAGGATATGTTTATTGATTTCAGAGGGGGCGAGGGGAAGAGAGAGAGAGACATTGATTGATACATGCCACAACTAGGGATCGAACCCAAAACTTTGGTATGTGCCCTGACCAGAAATCAAACTCGCAACCTTTTTTATGTATGGGATGAAACTCCAACCAACTGAGCCACCCAATTAGATCAGGGCACCATCTAATTGAAATTTATAAAACATTCCACCCAAACAAAAACAAAATGTACATTCTTTCAAGTATGTATGGAGCATTCAGAATGATAGACCATATCCTGAGATATAAAAGAAACCTTCACAACTTTGAGAGAAGTGAAATCATATAAACTATGTTCTCTGACTGTAGTGGACTCAAACCAGAAATAAATAACAGAAAGATAACATGAAAAGAACAAAACACTTAGCAATTAAACAACACAATTATAAACAATCCATGAGTCAAGACAAAGTCTCAGAAAAACAAAGCTGAAATAAAAGATACAATAGCCGAAACCGGTTTGGCTCAGTGGATAGAGGGTCAGCCTGGGGACTGAAAGGTCCCGGGTTCGATTCCAGTCAAGGGCATGTACCTGGGTTGCGGGCACATCCCCAGAAGGAGATGTGCAGGAGGCAGCTGATCGATGTTTCTCTCTCATCGATGTTTCTAACTCTCTATCTCTCTCCCTTTCTCTCTGTAAAAAATCAATAAAATATATTTTTAAAAAAAGATACAATATATAAAAATCTATAGACATAGTTAAAGCAGTATTTAAAGGGAAACTTATAGCACTAAATATGCATATTAGAAAAAAGGAAAGGTCTCAGGTCAACAATCTAAATTACCACCTCAACAAACTAGAAAAAAGAAAGTAAAATAAACCCAAAGCAAGCAGACAAAAGAAAATAATGATAAAAGTAGATATTAATGCCCTAGCTGGTTTGGCTCAGTGGATAGAGCATTGGCCTACAGACTGAAGGGTCCCAGGTTCGATTCTGGTCAAGGGCACATGCTTGGGGTTGTGGGCTTGATCCCCAGAAGGGGGTGTGCAGGAGGCAGCCAACCAATGATTCTCTCTCATCACTGATGTTTCTATCGCCCTATCCCTCTCTCTTCCTCTCTGAAATAAATAAAAATATATTTTTTAAATGTAGATATTAATATTACTATATAATAAAGAGGTAAGATGCAAATTGACCGTCACACCCTTGCACAAGATGGCCACCACCATGTGGTCACAAGATGGCCACCATTAGATGGCCGGCAGGGGAGGGCAGTTAGGGGCAACCAGGCCACCAGGGGAGGGCAGTTGGGGGCAACCAGACTGGCAGGAGAGGGCAATTGGGCGACCGGGCCAGCAGAGGAGGGCAATTGGGGGGACCAGGCCAGCAGGGGAGGGCAGTTAGGGGCAACCAGGCCGGCAGGGGAGGGCAGTTGGTGGGGGGGGACCAGGCCTGCAGGGGAGGATTGGGCCTAAACCAATAGTCAGACATCCCTCGAGGGGTCCCAGCTTGGAGAGGGTGCAGGCTGGGCTGAGGGACAACCTCCCCCTCCCCCCCAGTGCACAAATTTCATACACTGGGCCGCTAGTCTTATATAATAAAAGCCTAATATGCAAAGTCCCCTCAGGCAGTCATTCGACCGGGAGACTGGGAGTTCGACTGCTCACTATGATGTTTGCTGACCAACATGGGGCAGCGCGCTGCGACCTGTTGCCGGCTACCTGGGGGCAGAGGTGACGGGGACAGAGGTGAGGTGAGAATGCAGGGTGTCCACCAAGCTCACTCTCACTTTCCCTGCTATCCTCCCCTGGGACGCCAGAGCTCACATGCTGGGTGCCCACGAGGAGCCCACCCTGCACCCGTGCAGCCTCTTCTGGGTTAGCTGGGCCACAGACACCAGGACCGCAGGGGCCAGTTGGGCTCCCCATAGGTCATGCAGGAGCCAGTCTGCAAGGCCAGCTGGGAGAGAGCGCACTGCCTGCCTGGCTTCTGTGTGGCACCACTGGGCGGCTCAGAGGCCCATGCTGTGCACAGGCCTGCTGCATCTGGCCGCACTCATTGCATCTCCACATGGGGACTCAGGCGTTTTAACTCAGGCGGAGGAGGGCGCGGGGCCCAGGTGCTGCCCAGGGCCCAGGGGTCAGCTGGAACCTGCCCTTCCATGCCAGATGCTCGCGCTTTGATCACTGGCCAGGCTTAGGGACAGCATCCGTGCATGAATTCCATGCACCGGATCTCTAGTAATTAAAATAAAACAGAATAGATAAAATAAATCAAGGCAAAAGTTAGTTCCTTTCAAAGATCACTAAAATTAATAAGCTTCTAGTAAGGCTGACAAAGAAAGAGAAGACCTATATTACCAATATCAGAAATTAAAGAGGGGATATCACTATCAACTCTAGAGGCATAAAAAGAATGATCAGGGAATACTAAAAACTCTACACAGAGAAGTTCTACAGTTTAGACAAAATGAACCAATTCCATGAAAATCACCAATTACTAAAACCCATACAAGATGAAACACATAGCCTGAATAGTCCTATAACTACTAAAGAAGTTGAATTCATAGTTAAAATCTTCTGAAAAATAAATCTCCAGGCTCGGATTGCTTCCCTGGTGAATTCTACCAAACACTTAAAGAAGAAGAAAACAATCTATTCTACCCAATTTCTTCTAAAAATAAGAGGAACACCTCCCAACTCATTTTATAAAGTCAGCATTACTCTGATAAGAAAGCCAAACAAAGCTGGCACAGAAAGAAAACCAGAGACCAATTTCTCTCATGAACAGACACAAAAATTCTCAATAATTAGTAAATAGAATACAGCAACATGTAAAAAGAATACTATAGCACAGCCAAGTGGGACTTATTCCAGCTATGCAACACTTAGTTCCATATTAGAAAATGAATGTAATCTACCATATTAATTAAAAGAAGAAAAACCACATAATCTTACCTGATATGGATAAAACATCTGACAAAACCACACCTACATATGATTAAAAATTCTCAGCAAACTAAGAATAGAAGGAAAATTCTTCCATCTATAGAGCAGTGGTTCTCAACCTTCCTAATGCCATGACCCTTTAGTACAGTTCCTCATGTTGTGGTGATCCCCAATTTCATTGTTACAAATTGAACATAATTAAAGCATAGTGATAAATCACAAAAACAATATGTAATTATATATGTGTTTTCCTGATGGTCTTAGGCGACCCCTGTGAAAGGGTCGTTTGACCCCCAAAGGGGTCGCGACCCACAGGTTGAGAACCGCTGCTATAGAGCATCCATAAAATTCCTACAGCTCACATAGTACTTAATGGTGAAAAACTAAGTGCTTTACCCCTAACATCAGCAACAAGGCAAGAATGCCCATTCTAATGACTCTTATCTAACACAGCACTAAAAATTTTAGCAAGTGCAATAAGGCAACAAGAAAAAAAGAAGGAAATAAAAGGCATACAGAATTTTCCTTATTTGGAAAAAAAAAAAAGCTCCTGAAACTCATATGTGAGTTCAGCAAGGTCACAGATTACAAGATCAACACACACAAAAATGTCAATTGTTTCTGTATACTACCAACAATAAACACTTGGAAAGCAAAACCCAAAATGATATACCATTTAAAATCATTCCAAAAGCCCTGGCCAGTTGGTTGGAGCATCTTACTAAATACCAAAACATAGCAGGTTTGATTCCAAGTCAGGGCATGTACGTAGACTGCAGGTTTGATCTCCCACAAGGGTGCATGTAGGAGGCAACCAATTGATGTTTCTCTCTCACATCAATGTCTCCTCCTGTCTCTCTTTCTCTCTCTCTCTCTCTCTCTCTCTCTCTAATAATAATCTAATCTAATAAAAGAGAAACAGGCAAATTGACTGCACCTCCACTATGCCCCAAGCCACTCCCACCAGCCACTCAGAGGAACTATATGCAAATTAACCCAACCAAGGTGGCGGCCGGTAGCCATGGAGCTGGAGCAAGCAGGAGGCTTGGTTGCCCCGGCAATGGAGGCAGTCAAGCTTCCCGCCTGCCCTGGCCAGCTGTGGCCTCCGCTCCAGGCAACAAAGTTTCAATTATAGAAGATAAATAAATCCCAGATACCTGCT